TATATATATATATACACATACATATATATATATATATATATATATATATTCACGCCGACAAAGCCAATGCGAGGGACAAAGTTAAATAACAACTTAATTCGTCCTCGCTATCTTAGTTAGCTTGTTTTTTTTTCCCCCTGTTTTTTTTTCTTGTTTTTTTTTGTTTATTGGAGTTTTGTTTTCCTCTCGCCCCCAGACTGAAGCACGCACACACACAGAGAGAGAGACAAGAAGAGAAAGGCATAGAGATACAGATAAATATCTCCATTCATCTCCGAATTGATGACTATCTGTGTGCAGGTCTCTACGCAGGTGTACGCATGCGGTTCTAAAGTAAGAGAAAAATGACCGCAATAACAAAATATTGTTGTTGTTGTTGCAGCGGCGGATCTCTCTTTTTACTGAGTCTCCTTTTTATGGAAGGTGAAACACAACATCGCGGGATCGAATGGATACTCGATGCGGGCGTGATAACCCCGCAGCGCCTCATCGTTATCGCAGACAGTGGCAAAGGCCGCTAATGACGCACCCACTGCCCTGGCAGTTCGCTCCATGTTCTCCACCTGTGGTTGAATTGCTTTCCTGCGTGACTGGTCAAGCTCCTTTGATGCCATAAGCTGCTTCAGTCTATCAGCGGCGCCGACGGCAACCTCACTGGCTTTCTGGGCGTATAGAAAAACCTTTTGTGAGTCCACGTTTCCGTCGGTGTTGATATCGAGCTTTGCAGCGATGCAGTAGGCATACGGTGTGAAGGGCGGGCTGCGGATGTGTTGAAGGCACTTCATGCGATGGTTGAATGTGTTCTCCAAGGTCATGAGTGAATGCTTCGCCGCGCTTCTCAAATCAATAAGCCCCTTTGCCTCCAACAGACACGCTGCCACAAACAGGGCGTCAGCAATCATGCGTCCCGTCTCGAGAATTGTGAGGCGAACGGTGTCGGAGCGCCCCGTGGTGCGTGTGGTGAGGGCAAGGTTGTGCAGTGGCACCTTGGTACGGCGGTTAATACGCGTCTCAGGAATCATGGCGGCATGCGGGGGAGCCAGTAGACCAAGATTTTCTATTTGCGCCCGCTGCGTGAAGTTCCAATACCAGAGGGCCGGAATCAACTCTCCCTGCGTGAAAAGATCCAGTTCCAGCGTCAATGAAAAAATAAGCTGCATCACATGAAGGACGTGTTGATTGACGTACATGGCGAGAAGTGGCATGCGCTTGGTCGCCTCCGCCTCCATCTCAGGGGATACGGAGGGAAGATGGAAAAGAAAAACGGATTTGTCTGTGTTGTAGGAGATTTCCTGCAAGGATCCCAGGTGTGGCAGCGCATTCATGAGACGGCGGTGGGCGAGGCCACGATTGCACATCATCGCTTCCAGATGAAGCAGGTAGGCCTTTGACACCTCAAGCGCCCAAGAGCGCACCGCCTCTACGGTTTGGTGCCGCAAAAGCATTGGTTGATCCGGCGTGATCTTGTGTGTGTCCATGGTTTTCTGAATACGATACTTCAAGACGGCCTCCAGCATCTCCTCATCACCCTTAAAGATCTTAAGATACAACGGTGCACCATGTTCATCGGCCAGCTCTTGCAGAATGCGCTGTGGCAGGGACGCCCCATAGAGAAAACACTCAGTCGGATCTTGACGGAAGAGCAAAGTGACAGCTATGGCTCTCATAAGCAAAAGCGGCCTCCGTGCCCCCAACGCCTCCACAAACTCCAGGATAACCTGCAGCGACGGCATTGTAAACAAATCCTTCAGCGACGCAAGTTGGTTCAACATAACCTTGTACGCCTGCATTGCCTCCGCGAAAGGGGCGCATGGTAGCGGTTTGCTGGGCGTAAACGAACTGGCCCAGTAGCCCACCTCCGTATCACGGAAAAACCGGTCATCCTGCACAGGCTCTGCCTCACGCTGAAACTCGGCAGCGCCTAAAAGATCACATGCCTCTCCGCAAAGGTCGCACGCCGCCTCCGCATCCGACTTCTTGCTTCCAAGAACAAAGCCGCTCAATACAGAGAGAAAAAGTTTCCGCCATCGCAGTCGTGCAGCAATGGTGGGGGACTCCGCCTTGCCCGCAGCCTCCTCTAGTTCATTCATTATCTTCTCCTCAATGAGAGCCTCCTCAGGTTCCAGTGGTTTAAGCCAGGGAATAAAATCCTCGTCACTTCGAACCCGCGTGGTCATAACAGCCCGTGTTGTCAACTCGATACATCGGGCAACACCACGGCAGTACGCGTGCAACGTGGGATTCTGCTCCTTTAACAAATCCATGCGGAAGAAGTAGGCAAATGCAAGGCAGCCAGCGGTAAGAGAAAATCCCTGTAGATACTGCAGTTCCTTCACGTGAATAAGGTCCATAACATCCAGCAGTGCCTCGCCCCCCAACGTGGCCGCTGACGGGATGGTGCCGTCCCTCAAAAGGCTGCTGAGGGAGCGGATAGAACTGTAGCCGCAGCCAGCATCCGTCTTGGCGTCCATCACCTCCGGGGCACTAAGCATCGCCTCCTTGTCCACACCCTCGCAGGTGTGGCACTGCCACGGCAAGCCATTCTCCGCAAGGAGCTTCTTAAACTCGTCCATGCACTCCACCCATGTGTTGTCGAGGTTACACGCCATTGCTGCAGATGTCGTGCCTCCTATATATATATATATATATATATATATATATTACTTA